TATCTCGTTTCCCTGAATAAATTACTTTATATGTTCATTGGGGTCCTTAACATTCTATAACTTTTATCAGTGACTAATTTTTGAAACTTTTCATCCTCCCCTCTTATTAAGACCATACTGTTTATTAATTTTGTACCTTATTGACCCTTTCAATGATTTTTTGACCACACCTTTTATTAAGGTCATCATTTCTATTGAAACCCACCCTGTTTATTGCATAAAGGAGAAATGTTCACCTGGCTCTTGTATCAGGCATCTAAGAATGTTATATTAAATGGCAGGGGATGCCAATATTAAAATATTTTATTTGTGACAAAGCTTACATTGAGATCAAAGCTTTGTTTCAAAATGGTGTGTGTTTGCGTGAAAAGGTGGATCAATAGATCTGTCACCTGACAGTTATCAGTTGAAGTTTGATCTGAAAATTTCATTGTATAATGTTTGCTCTATGTTATTTAATAGAGAAGTATTGATTTAAGTGCATTGACAAGGAGATCAACCCAAAATTATTTTTGTGTAAAGTGTATATATATATATATATATATATATATATATAATTAGTGCTACAAACTTATGTATATATTTACATAGTATGTCATATGAATAAGATAAATTTATCATTCGATGAAATGAAAAAAAAAAAAAAAGAAACTTACCTATAATATTATCATATATTACTATAGTCCCTAATATATAATATTATTATAATATCGTTGATTGCAAGTAACTGTGAAAAATGAAAAAATATGAAGATCAATTAAATTATAAATGATTAGTTGGAGACAATCTGGTTGGTTTGGTTTGATTTTGTCTAATGGCAAATCAACTTCAATAGGTTATTTTTAGGATAGGTCTATAAGAATAGAATGTGTATTCTTTGGAAGAAATCAGGTTTCATTGATAGGTTTTTGTAAAGCTGGTTTTTGTCAAGAGTCAAATGTATTGCTGGTAATTTTACTATAAAAATCTATTTTTATACTTTCATAATGTTTTGACCCCAGTTTGTTGGGGGGAGTTAACTATTTGCCATTGGCTGGGACCTTACAGGTGATACCACCCCAGGTAAGAGTGGACCTGGGAACAACAGTAATTAAGAGACGGTTCCACATTCTCAACCTCCCAATCAGTTGCCGGATGTAGTTTATTGACAATTTGGTTGGTACCAAATGAAGAGACTGTAGAATAAACATAAGAACATTCAGCCAAGTTTGGTTTAACTAATTAGGAGTCAAGTAAATTTTGGTACATTTGCATGAAAGCCATTGAGAAGATGCAGTCAAGAGAGTTTACTTGATAATTGTAATAATAGATATAATTAAATATATTTATTTGAGAATAATAATTGTAAATCGCATGGGATGAAAATCCTATTCTGGGAGTTATCAACAGCAACTTTTGTTTATATGAAACAGCTAAACTTTTTATTTATTTATTTATTTTTTTTTTTTATAAGTATTGATTTATGGTTTGAATGAAGTCAATTATGAAAATATTTGACCAAATATTTTCATAACAGGAAGATGGTGAAAATATGTCAAAAATGACGTATTATGCAAGACAATGTTTTTCTAATAAAATGAATATTAATCAATTGTTGTTGAAAAAAAAAAATTCAAGATATATATACAGATATATATATATATATATATATATATATATATATATATATATATATATATATATATACATGATACATGAGTGTATATAAAATAAATGTATGGAGGTTACTTATATCTAATTGTATTAGAAATTTGGTCGTGTGAGATTTTATTATGTAACTTTTGGGTTGTTCATTATTGTAAATAACGATATACAAAGATTGGCATTGGTTTTAAGAAAGTAGAAATGAGATATTGTCAGGTTATTGAGTGATGGGAACAACAATGAAAATTTTGAAAAACGAAGCAATAAAGAAAATAAGAAAACCTTGGCAAGATATAAATAAGAATCATTTTCCTTCAATATGAACTCGCTAAACATATCAGTGTAAATGCCTTATATGTAATTAACACGCTTACTGTAATTTTGTACACTATCACAATTGTGGGTCTAGTCAATGTGAATCAGACTCACTATATCACAGTAATGATTCGTTAAAGAAATGGTCTTATTTACTGAGAGTAACTTAGATGTTTAGCAGAAAGCCCCAACTGTAAGACATCCATTGAAACTTGAACTCACGATGCAAGAATTGTCTGTTAGACTAGCTTGGTAACCATTTCCACCATTGTCCTTTAGCATTTTTCTATTCATTAAGAGGAATTTGATTGTTTTTTCAGTGTTTACAGCCTAACTGGGAAATCAGGGAATTTAAAGGTAGTCATTTTTTTGTTTAAGAAAAGTGAGACCTAACAGGCAATCTAGTAATATGCTTAAATTTGTGTAGTCAAGATACCAAGAAGGAGCAAAGAGCAAAAAGATCAAAGTATTATTCCATATATCCCTTTGTAGGGGATCCCAAAGTAATTATCTGCCCTTACATATAAAATATCACATGATAACTCTGGATGGTTGGGGAAATAAAGCCAGCCATGCTCAGTACCTAACCTGCAGTATTTAAAACAAACTGAAGCTTCTTTTACTAAAAATGTTTTATTGATTGTTATAAAACTAGCAGTCATACCCAGCTGGTCAATCAGAAAAAGAGTTCAATTAGGATGCAGCAAAAACAGCATCATGTTTAGATATAACAGTCTATCTTCCTCAATTACTTTAAAGTGCTTTCATTAAAAAAACATTTTGAATTAATGCAGTTACTGATATAACAGAAGTAGTCTGTATTTATTCAACTGAAGTTAGCTGAGGACATGAAGGGGTAAAACAGGCAACATGAAGACCCACTTCAGACCGCAATTATTTTGGAGTTTTTGAAATTCAATTTGTCAGTCTGCTACCAGGGATGTAAAAGAGGATACATTTATAAAGCAATTGTTAAGTTTGATGAAAATTGGTTGAAAGATCAATGAAAAATAAGGAAGAAACCAGTAAAAATCGCCATATTTTGCTATTTACACAGGTGGACTCAATTATCAAGTTAGATGACTGTTAAACAATCAACTTATTGTTGGTTACATTTGAGTGAAGTTTGTATTAGATTGCTTGAAAATTGAGGGAGTTTGTGTTGAAATCGATTTTTCATTTTTTGCTAAATGCAGTGACATTTAAAAAAAAAAAAAAATGAGGTATTGTTGAGCTCGACATGACGTAAATAACCTATATACCAAGTTTGAACAAAATTGAGGGAAAAAGTTCAATTTATTGATTTTTTTCTATATTGTTTTATTTTTAAAATTATTGATTTTTTTACACTAAGAAGCTATCTCTTACATTGTACAATGTATGTGCCAAGTTTGGTCAAAATCGGTTGGATGGATCTCGAGTGAAAAGCTATCACACAGACATTCTCTGTTTTATTTATATATATATATATATATATATATATATATATATTCTTCATCCCAAATAAGGACACATTTCAGAAAAACTTGCATAATTTTTTTATTAATATTTAAACATGTTTGAAGAACTCTAACTGACTTTTTTTTCTCTCTCTCTCTCTCTTTCAGAAGGCTGTTATTCCAAGTAATCTGTCAGCATTTTCTCCAACCAATTTCTGGGGCCAAGGCCACCCACCCTCTGACAGTCTATTTGCTAACTTACACCATGAATCCAGTGATGAGCATGTCCATGATGTAGGTGGCAGCAGCCTCAGTGACCCAGGGGAAGAAACTGACAAGTGTTCACCAATCATTTCAGATAACTCTGAGAAAATTATGCCTGGAAAACCTGGAGGGGAGGAAAATTCCCCTCTGGGTGACTTCAGGGACAAGCTGAGTGACTCGGATCTTCATGACAATGAAACTGACTATGTGTGCAGCATGAACAGGGATAATCTTATGTGGGAACAAACTCAATTCTACCAAGAGAATACAAAGAAACAAGACAGCAAAAATGAAATTTCAAACAACATGGTCCCAAATTCTCCTGTGCATGCATACAAGTTTTTTCAGATCAAAAATCCGTCCAAGGTGGGAAACATTAACTCCTCTAACCAACATTTTTACCAAATGGTTACCCTGGACACTGACTGGTCTACAGACTCTACACACGATGATAATGTTCCAAAACATTTAAACGGCAGTCTTAACCAGACTGCAGATTCTGGTGTCATTGCCGATATCAGTAACAACAATATACAGAACGAAAGTAGCAATTTAGAAGAAACTTTAAGAAAAGCAATTCAAACTAATCAGCCTTGCACAACTGTGGAACGTTCTTCTGGTAAGGAACTTTCTACAGCGTCCGACTCTGGAACAGAAAGGTCTCCGGACATGTCGTTAGAAACTGCTACCACTACATCAGAGAGTGGCTCATCGCAAAAATCAAAGAAAACTAAAAAAAGTGTAAAGTCCGTGTTCTCTAGCAGTTCTTGGTCTGGTGGTGATCAAGAAGATGTTGTGGAAAGTTCTTGTGACGCTAGTGGAGAAGAGAGTGGAGAAAGTGATAGCTCAGATGAGTTCTCTACAGCTACCGAAGACAGTCAGGATAATCTTTTTGACAGCGTCATACATCTGAACGAGTCTGCTAGCAAGATCAATGCTGATATGGCTTCATTGTCCAAATCATTCTTAGTTCCTCCAACCAAAGAGAACAACAACAGGCAATCAAAAGAAAGGCCTTGGAGTGTAATCGAATTATATGAACAAAGTAATGGCTTGGACCTGAAACCATTCTTTGTATCTGACAGTGCTCTCGATAGGCTCTGTTCACAGGACCTAACACCAACATCTGAATTCACTCCCACGAAAAACAGTTGTCACCCTAATTTCACATCTGCTACGTTTCCTCGATTAAAAGGTAAAGAGAAAATTATCCAAGCCTTTCACTCAACCACAGATGATGTGCCTTTACATCCAGGTGTTAAACGTAAACTTCAAAATGACTTTTATGCCTTAGATCTTTGTCATGTGCTGGGAACCTTATCACGGGATAGCCTCGCAATGCAAGGCTCTCGCTCTGAAAGCGAAAGTGATACTAAAGAACTCACAAGACAGCTCCAGAACACCACGGTGTGCTCAGGAATGAGTGACACCGAGTCTGACAGTGGAGGTAAGAAGTGTTTTTTTTTTTGTTTTTTTTTAAATACCCTGTCCCAGCTATATGTAGACAGCCATTCATATCAATGGATCCTTTTTTTTTTTTCTTTACTTTTCAATTATCGTGCATTCTTGGGAAAGATAGAGTGGTTTCCATTGCCTTCTCCATGGTTTGAAATTCTGAGTTTTCCTTTTCTTAGATTGGTTGCCACTCAAAGCTAGAGAGCCCAGTCTACCTAGATATAGAAAAGATGGAGTCATGCTTTCCCAAGAGCATTTGTGTGAGTGAATGTTATCAGCAAATTACAAATAAATATTCCTAACCTTTTACGTATCCAACTATGAAGTTTGCAGGCAAATTTATTTTTTAGCTTCAGGTTATCCTGAAGCCTAATTATCGTATGTGGAAGTTAGGAAGATGATATGTTATGATATATTTTGGAAAAGCTTTATGCTTAGGCTGGGAATTTTTTTTTGCACGGATTCAAAATTCTGAAATTTTTATTAGATGAAACATTGTCATTCATGATAAAATTTAGAGTTCTTTTATATTCTTTACATTGCTTTTTATAAAAAGTAAATCTTAAATCACAGAATGGCCATCTTGGAATTGTTAAAAAAAAAAAAAAAAATCAACAACAGAAAGAAAAAAAATTAATAATTAAATGTTTTTTTTTGTAATTTTTTTAATTATTTGCTTTAGCATCTGTGGTCATTGAGAACCTGGTTTATACGTGTAGACTACTGTTGCCAACATTGAAGCATTACTGTGTCATGTTCAACATGTGCAGCAATTCTCTAAATAACATCCATAATCAGCTCTAACTGAACAAAAGGAGTACATGTGCAACTCTGTGACATATGTTTCCACCATACTGAACTTTATTGTAACATGTCTAAAAAATTTAAGACACAGATGGTGCACCAATATGATTGTTACTACATCATCAGATGGCTGAAGACTTTAAAAATTATATCAGAATATCTATTACACCCTAGCATGCACATAATATATTTACTCCATTGTCCTTTAGGGTATGGTAATTTTATTTTCTGTCACATACACTTTTTTTTTTTTTTTTTAAATCAATTGATGCCAAGCAATGTGATAATGTAACTAAGACGCAAGGGACTACTGAGAGTGAAAGAGAATGAAAATATATTTAGAAGGAACCAGAAACCCAAAGAGGAAACAAGGGAAACTACTACACCTGTTCAAAAGACTGGGGTGGAGTGTGAATCAGACACTAGGCAAACCTAAAAATATAGTTTTAAAGTCTATTTATGGGTAAAAATGCTCAATATCAAGGATAGAGTGTTTGTAAATATAGACGTAGACACTGAGGTCAACACCAAGTAGTGACAGTGTTTCATACTTGAATACAATCTTCAGGCAGATGGCTTGAAATGAATTGTCATCATTTGGTGTTGACCTCAGTGTCCACGTCTATAAAAGGATTTGTTGTATCGTTCATGTTGTAAGATAACTTGTTTGATTTATTGTATTAGTTTAATTTATTGCTTTTATAACAATTAATCTAAGTGCTGACTTTTTATAATTTACTATCTTTGCTGTTCTTTGTTCCCTCTCAAGATATTTTTAGTTTTTCTCTTAAACTTAGTGTCATGTACAAAAGCAAGTGACATTGCACTGAGCTTTAAAGGATTTGAGCTACTTTTATTGGGTCACCTCAAAATAAACCATTCTCTTTTCTGTAATTTAAGTCCTTTCAAAGTAAATGTTGTTGGAATGAGGATTTCTGAACACCTGTATTGCTGCTAAAGGTAGCAAACATGTAAATACAGCAGTCAATTATGTGCCATGCATGATACATGCTTAGGCAATCATGTATCTTTCAATATACAACTGAGAAGGCAGATTTTTTTCCCGCAGTAGGTTGCCATTTCTTTCTGCAGTAGACCATTTGCCATCCAAGGCTATAGAACCCGGTCTGTCCTGCTATTTACCCATAGCTGGTGGGAGAAGAAGAGGATTCATACCTTTCCCAAGGGTATTAGCATGTAAGTGAATGTAATGGATTTGGTTTTTATCTATGCATTATGTGTCAAAAAATAGGGTATATAATCCTGACAATAGTCAACACGGAGAATGCATAGATAAAAACCAAATTTTTTATTTTCTACCCAATCTGAAAGATTACAATTCCTCTCTTGACTCAGAAACTTAAATCAAAGAACATAAAATGTTAACGACTTTTTAAAAGTCCTTCATTTTCTTTCTTTTTTAGTCATGAGCAACTCCAGCTTGGGAAAAAAACAAATTTTTTTTTTTTTTTTTTTGCATTTGATGTGGTGAAGCCTAAACAGTGAAATGCAGATATATTTCAAAACATACTTTCCTGAATGTTTTCCAATTGTTTATATATATATATATATATATATATATATATATATATATAGCCATCCACATACTGACTGTTTTCCTGTATCACAGCTGATCAGTGTGGCTAGGCATGTGATTGCTTCAAGCCAGGATCAAAACATCAGAGGCTGTCACTCTTCATTCATATATATACATATATATATATATATATATATATATATATATATTTGAAAATCCTGTGCAGGATTTTTTGTCTCATATGAAACATAAATATAAATACTGAACTGGAAGACACTCATACGTTGAGAACGACAGGAGAGTCCATCATATATATATATATATATATATATATATATATATATATATATATAAAACAAATAAAAACATCTTTAGATTAGCTTCAACAAAAGTGCTCAATTCTACAGATCACTTGGACAGTTTTTTGTTTGTTAGTGTTCAAAAAAGAAATCACTTGTATGAATGCAAGAAAAATATATTATAAAGCTTAATTGCAATGGTTTATCAGTAACTTTTAATGAAACATGTCTAAATACACAGTTTATATATAAACTAATGTTTGGGAATATTCTAATTGCATTTATTCAAGATAAAAAAAAACAATGATAATCTTAAGTGGTTTTCTTTTGTTTAATAAGAACATTTCACAAATATTAAATGTTGAAACTTTATTTTCTTTAGCTCTTTGAAGCATCAAGTGTTAAATTTCTTCCCACTTTTAAAAGTGTTTATATTGATTCATGAGTCATTTTTAATACCACCTTTTTACTTTTATATTCTTGATATTATCAACCCAGGGAGATGACTCCAGGCACATGTTACCTTCAGAAAGTGCCTGAAAGCCATACTACAGCTAACAAACTATAAAATTTTCCTTCAAACATACCTAAAAAAAACTATAAAAATCTTTCTTCAACCATATCTGAAGAACTATAAAATTTACTCTCATCCATACTTGACCAACTATAAAATCTTTACAACACAATCAATTTGGCTCTAAATGACCTACAGTACAAGAGTTTGCGGCAGGTGGTATTAAACACAATCAACAGATTGAAGCAAACCGTGGGAATGAAATTGGGTAGGCAGAACTGTTTGGAAGCCAATTTTTGGTGTTGCTTGCACAAAGCCATCATAACCAAGGGTTTGAATGTACTGACCTTGTTCAAAGAACTGACCAACCCAGATTATACACTCTCTCTCTCTCCCAGAAACTGTAAGTAAGGTCTACTCAGCATAGTTACAATATAAACTACAAGTGGGCTCTGTGGATTTAGCAGGTGTCTCTAATAGGTTTTGGCTAGCCTCCCTGGGCAGACAGGGGTTCTCAGAAATGAGCAGTAGCCAATCATTTATGTGCATAGAGGCTTATATCATGTCCCATAATTATTTTAGTACCCAGATTGATCAACAGATGGCAGAGTAGTTCCAAATGGAAAAAAAAGAAAATGCCTTAAAGAGTTAAAGTAGCAGTTCAATTTATTGTCTGTTGTTCCATTTTTAAACAGTACTTTCATACTACCATTTATAGATTTAGGTTACTTTTTCCCTTCATTGATTTTTACTTGGCGGGGCAGTGGTGGGGGGGGGATCACTCTTTGTTGACTTAGTAGAAATCAATTCTTACATTTCATGTTGATACACAAATGCCAAGAGGTTTTAACTTTGTATATAAAACGTGTTAGAGTTCACTTGTTGATCGTAATTATAAAAAAAATGGAACTTGAAAAGAATTGAAAATCAGTCACTTGTTAATCATAAATTTTTTTTTATATGAACAACCGTATATATTTGTGTTTAAGACAACTTCATGTATAGTGTGAACCCTGAAATTTTTTTTTGCATGAATTTTAACCCCTCCAGAAAAAAATTTACCTCTGTATCGTGTAAAATGTTTGGTTTTTAAACTCTTCAAAAAAAAAAAAAAAAATTACCTGTGTATAGTGTGACCCCCTACATTTGCATAAAAAAAACTATCATAAAATCTTTACTATAGTCAACTATAAATGGTATTTTAATCTTAATTTCTAATGTAAAAGTTCATTTTCATTTTGTCATTTTCTTTAATTTTACAGAAAGTATTATATTGATGTTATAGAAATTGCCTGTTTATGTGATGTTATATAATTGTTTGTATTATAGGGGCTTATGGCACAGCCATGGAGGATACATCTGATGGTGAAGACCTTATAGGCAGTGCTGGCTCCTTCTCTGAGGCCGCTTGGGACAACTACCAGGTGAGTGTAGATGTTTCACTTATCAATGATTAATCCAAAGTGATTTTAACGATAGGATATCTAAATTAATACATCACAACATGTTATTAATATTGAAGCATGGTTACAACTTTTTCTTGGCTAGGAAGTCTTTTTTACACTGATGACATATGTAGAAATTTAATCTGACACAAAAAAAAACAAAACATCAGGGTTAAGTACTCAAGTATTCACAATTGCATTAATTTCAGACTAGCAACCTAAGCATTACTTTGGTATCTACTAAGTTTAGCCTAGTCTGACACAAGGCCACACTTGTAGAAGATCAACTTCACTACAATAGTAATTTCTCTGACTTTTTTATAAATATTTTCATGTTAATTGTTCTGATGAACATTCCTCTTTCTGCCATGATACGACAATGTCTCTATGAAATTCTAACCCTTCCCATATTTACAATTTGTCTGTGGGAGGGGTGGAATAATAAAAAAAAATTATTATGGTGACTGTAGTGAAAATGTTATTTGGTGTAAGGAATATTGTATAGTTTGTTTGGATCAGTGATTGTGGCTCACTAAAAGACCAGCCTTCCCTATCCCCCCGCTTTTGACCTTGAGCCACATTTCTTTTATTTACAAGAGTAAATATTGCTTTCCTCTTTTAAATGTGCAATATTGAAGTACTAGATTGGCAGATAGGTCTCCTAATTTCACTGTTGAAATCACTAGTTGTAACCATAATTTCTATGTTAATAGTTTCTTTTCACACACTTGCTTGTAAAGCTTTCTACCAATTTCCTGCCCTTCCTGGGTATGACGATAAACTACATCCAACAGCAAGGCCTCTGATCAGGAGGTTTTGAGGAGTGTTGAATCACCTCTTAATTACTGGTATTCCCAGGTATGCCCTGACCTGGGGTGGTAGCACCTGTTAGGGTCCCAGCTATGGTCAAAATACTATGAAAGTGTAAAAATAAGTTTTCATACCAGAAATACTTTGTAAAACAAATTTGGGTAAAAAAAAGAAAAAACATTACCAGTTACACATTTTTTTGAAAAAGAAAAGAAAAAAAATTACCAGCAATACATATTTGAAAGAAAATTATTACCAGAAATAGATTTGTTGTAGCAAAAATTATTACCAAAAAGATTTTTTGAAGGAAAAATATTACCAGAAATAGATTTTTTGAAAAAAAATATTACCAACAATAAAAATTTTGTTGGCTTTAAATAACCCATTGTAGTTGAAATGCCATAAAACAAACCAAACCAAACCAACTTCCTGCCAAATATGATGTTCAAAAATTTAAATGCAATGTCAATTGTCATTTTATGTCTCCTTGTAATCTGTTCTTTTATTGTCCTGTTTTTTTTTTGGGGGGGGGTATTCATGTCCTAATGGTTTTATTGCCTCACAATAAAATGATTATAAAACAAAACAGAAAAACCAAAAACACAGACTAACTTACTAATCATTATTCCATGCTGTTACTGCCTCCTCCCTGGACAATGCCAAGGGTTAATTGTGGCAACAGATTTGTTTATTCCTTTTAAATAAACAAATCTATGTTGCCACAGGTAATCCTTAGCATTGTCCAGTGAGTTGAGAAAAATAAAAAGCCTATTTGAGAAAATAAAAACTTCAATAATTTCATAGAAAAAAATTGCTTGGTTTAGTATATTAGCACAAGTTTAAAAATCTTACTTAGAATTTATTTTAGGTATAATTTTAAAATAAAAAAAAGTCTTGCTTAATATAAAAGAAAAACAAAAGATAATTTACCATCTCAGCCTTATAACAAGGTCCAAATCTGAATTATGGTTTCTTTTAAATTGAAAGTTTAATAAAACTTCAGATGATCTCGGTCAGTAGATATTAATTCCATTGTTTGTAAATAATCAGAGATGTCTACTTAAGCATATGTACTCACTAAAATGATGTTTATTCTAATAAGAAATACCATCAGATTGAAAAAAATCCATTGTTTAAATTACTTTGTTTACATTTTGAATCCAAAAATATAAGTTAACTGAACATCTCAAATGAGCTTTTTAGCTATTTATAGTTTTCCTTGTTAACTTTTTTATTTATTATTTTATTGTTGGTGGTTATTAATACATTTGTATCCAGATCCACAATTATTTCCACTCAAAAGCCCCTAGAATAATAATTTGAAACATAACTATTGCCACCCACCAAAATAACTCTTAGAATAATACAATAGACTACCCACAATGCAACAATGACCTGTATATATAAATAGTTGAGTAAAAACAACACATATGTCCTGACAATTGCATTTAAGCATGAAACAGACTGTCATCTCTGGGTGTTGACTTCAATGTACACTTTTATATTTACATAGCCTCTCTATCCTTGATATTAGGCACTTTAAACCATAAATATAGCATACTTTAAAATTATATTTTTATCATGTGGAGGAAAGAGAGAAGGGAAGGTTGCAAAAAAATTACTCAAGTCAAATTCACTTCACAAATCTGATCAAACATAAGGATCTTTCTTGGTCAGCCAAGAATTTTTCAGTACGCCCTTGTGTATATGAGTATTCAATTAATATTTGTAGACAACTAAAAACTGTCTAGAAATGTCATGAATATGGCAAAAAGATGAGGACGACAGTCTTAGGTCAACCCATGGATGATTTTCAGGCACTTTCCAAAGGTGCCACACATCAGAATTGCCTTCCTAGGCTTATAATATCAAAAAGTCACCTACCCAACTAATTAACTGTGGTGAGATTCAAACCCAGGATTCATGGTTGGAAAGAAAACATTCTAACCTCTTGGCAAAACGTCCATTATTGCT